CCTCCTTGTATTTCCTTTTTTCAAACGTTTGCACGGTTTCAGCACCAACGCTGCCCTGTCCCTTTTCAAGCTGCTGCCGACATTTGTTCCTCTGTTCTACCTTTGCTTAGCTCTCTCCATTGCAAGTCCTTTACTTCTTCAGCCACCTCTTTTTTCAGGTCTGCTTACCGTTTGAATTTCCTTCGCGTCCAGTCTCCTCTTCCCCACCTTTCCTTATCTCTCCACCTTCTTCTAGTCCGCATTTTTCTGCTTGATGTTTGAATTTCTCTCAGATTCAATCTCCTTCTCCTCCGTACTCAGCCGCATCTCTCCTCATTCGCCCCCTTCTTTTCAGGCCCCAACTGTCTCTGCTTACTGTCGAATTTCCCTTTCGTCCAGTCTCCTCCTCCGTACTAACTCTCATCTTTCCTCCTCGTTTTAAGTCCACATTGTCTCTGCTTAGCGTTCGAGTTTTATTTAATGTTCAATCTCCTCCCTCTTCTTCCTCCTTCTCTTCCTCCGTCCCGTACTGCTACTTCTATTGGTAAAGATTCTTCGTGTGGAACAGCTTGTATTTTTCTCCACAGAATTACCTACTTAGTTCATTATAGTACGGATATTCCGTTTCATTTTCTCATACTTTCGTGGATGGTGGTGCGCTCAAACATTATGTTTTTGCAGCTTTTCTTGCGCACGGTTACTTTTAATTTTACTAATTCATGTTTATTTTCTAGCTTTATCACTTCAGTTTAGTCTCCTTTGGGTTTAGTTTACTACTTAGTTCTATTGGTTTTGGTTTAGTTATTCAAATTGATTGGTTTCCTTTAGTTTACGAGTTTTGTTTATATTTTTACTTCCACTGGTATTGGTTTGGTGTTCATTTGCTTTATGTTAACCTACTTTAGTTAGCTTTATTCGATTTTTGGTTTAGTTTTCAGTTTTATCACTTAAGTTTGGATTTTGGTTTAGCATTCAATTTACTTAGTTTGCCTCAGTTCATATTACTTTAGTAAGCTCACTTTGATTTTCGGGTTAGTTTTAAGTAAGTTTTTAGATTATTATTTAGTTTTCTTAGTTTTATTTTAGATTGCGTTGTAGTTAGTTAGCTTATTTTACTTAACTTTATCTTAGTTAAAGTATTTTACCGTTGTTTTATTAGCGGCATACGGTTGCTTTTCGGTTTGAAAATGGGGAAAACGCCTATCTTTTATGTTTTTAATTTAATATCCAACATAAGTCTTATTAGTAATATCTCTCATTCTAAATATTAGATTATTTAGATCATTCTTGTTATATTCTACTTTTATTCGCTCAACTATTACTTCCTCTTTCGCCTGATATCCCCACGCATAAGACCCCTATTATCGGCCGTCCCGTAAGACTAAAACCTGGAGCCTCTTGTTACTGAGCTGTTCCGTATTAGGCATCTCTGCCCTTCTATTTCTTGCTTCTCTTTATCCGCTCCGTGTACTTTGTGCCTTTTCTCCTGCAGACTCCGAGGGCGGTAACGATGTTACGGAAGGTCCCAAGGTTTCCGTGACTTCATTTTCCGCCTCGTCGCCTCTTGTTCCCTCCTCTGTTCTCCATATGCCCATTATGATCGTCTTCAGCGATCTTTTTACCCTTGAAAAGGCCGTCGACAGCATCGCCTTCCTTGTGCGTGATCCGGCGCACATCACGCCCAACAGTATCGAGGTGTGTTGAACCATTCTGTGCAGTGGGTATTTTTCCTTTCTCGTGCACACCCGGGTGTCTGTTTGACACGTCTTGCTTCTTCTGTTTGTAGTACTGCGTACACGCATTGCGGGTCTTCGTGGAAGCCTGCAGCAGTCCCTCTAAACCGCCTCTCTTCCAGCGTCTCGGCTGCGACCCAAATACCGCTATCGCCACTGCTCGAGATGACCCCATCACAGGCGGACTAGCCCTACAGGTGAGTTAATTTTGCACCCTGTGCTAATTTCAGATTTTCTTGTTGCTCATTTATCTGCGGCATGCTGACAGTTTGCTCATTAGTTTCGGCGAGGCCCACTGCCACAGCAGGGTGACGCAGACACAGTGAATTGTGCGTGAATTCGATTATATTGGTAGGAGACTTGTGGTGCATCTACCGCTCTTGCTCCCTCTTCCCTCACTTGCCTGAATCGTAAATAAGATAAGAAGACTGGGGGCGAGATCAGGCGCAGGTGGTTGGCGCGGTGTGTGTTGCATTTTTCTGGGAGCACATGCGAAAATATGCCTGCTGTGTTCTGCTCTTGCCCCAATATTGGTCCAGCGCATCTTCCACACAGCTCGTTTAGTTGGGCCAAACGAAATTTGAATCGTTGGTTTCGACCATGCCCACCAAGTGCCTTAGCAGGCTGCAGGCAAACGTGGTGACCTGCGCGTGAATTAGCTTTAAGTGCTAATAGACTTGTGCGACATCTACCGCACTTTCTCTTCTCTCACCCTCCTGCGTCAAGACCAAGTCAAGAAGACCGGAAGTGGGATCGGGCACAGGTGGCTGTTGCGGCCGAAGCCACCCCTGCATGTGCCGTTGCGCCCTCCCCCACCCCATGTTCGGTATTCATTATGGGAGCGCAACCCGAGTAACGCCTGTTGTACCCCATTTAGTCCCCGTGTTCGTCCGACGAATCTATCATGCGATCGGTTTAGGAGGCACACAGTGGGGCCGAACCCGCAAAGACAGCGAGGCGGTGTTATCGAAGGTGTGGTAAACTGTCAACACGGTAGTTTGTTCATCCTGCCACGGCGGCCCAAAGGAGCATCATTGAGTTGCCTACTCAGACTATCTCTGTCCATTCCGTATGAGATTGCAGATATGTGCCAGCGCAGTGCCTGACGCGACTTTTATCCTCCTGCTTCTCTGTCTCTCATCTA